AAGATCGACGACGGGAGAAATGCCGTTCTCGTTAGCATATGGGGCAGAGGCAATGGTCCCGGTCGAAATCGGGTCTGAAACTTATCGGGTAAAGAATTTCGAAGAGGGAGCGAATAGCGAAGGACTGTGAACGGGCTTGGATTTAATAGAAGAAGCTCGGACGCAAGCCGAGTTAAAGAACGCAGCATACAAACGGGTGACCGAGAGACACTTCAACGCAAGAGTCAATTCTCGTTTCTATCGAGCGGGAGAACTAGTTTTGAAGAGAGTGACGGGACCGGATCCGGGTCTCCTAAAACCAAAATGGGAAGGACCGTATCAAGTCGACGCCGCACTTAAGAATGGGGCCTACCGATTGAAGTACTTAGACGGAACCCCGCTGATGTATCCCTGGAATGCTATGTATTTGAAGAAGTATTATCAATAAAGAGTATTCTCGTCAGATCAAAAATAAAATGACCCCAAGTAGGGTAACAACCGGACCACTTAAGGTTGCCCAGTATCGGATCACTTAAGGTCGTCCGATCAAAAATAAAATGACCCCAAGTAGGGTAACAACCGGACCACTTAAGGTTGCCAGGTATCGGATCACTTAAGGTCGTCCGATCAAAAATAAAATGATCCCAAGTAGGGTAACAACCGGACCACTTAAGGTTGCCCGGTATCGTATCACTTAAGGTCGTCCGATCAAAAACAAAATGACCCCAAGTAGGGTAACAATCGGACCACTTAAGGTTGCCCGGTATCGGATCACTTAAGGTCGTCCGATCAAAAATAAAATGACCCCAAGTAGGGTAACAACCGGACCACTTAAGGTTGCCCGGTATCGGATCACTTAAGGTCGTCCGATTAAAAATAAAATGACCCCAAGTAGGGTAACAACCGGACCACTTAAGGTTGCCCGGTATCGGATCACTTAAGGTCGTCTGATCAAAATCAAAATGACCCCAAGTAGGGTAACAACCGGACCACTTAAAGATTGCCCGGAATCGGATCACTTAAAGTTGTCCGATCAAGATTGAAGCGGCACGAAGATATTAAGCGACGAAAACATAAAATACCACACTTAGTTTATTTTCCATAAATAGGGAAACCACACAAATATCCGAACCCTACAGGGAATAAACCATCCCCGGGCTCGGAACACACCAACATCCGGAAGTGCAAATTAAAATAAGTTGTTCGAAACAGCAAGCAACATACGCAAACATACTTAAAAAGAAAAGGAAAACGGAAATAGCAACTGGAAAGTGACCGAAGATCAAATGGGGGGTGGCTGTTCGTTCCCAGCATCCTCATCATTCTCGCCCGTTCCTTCACCTTGACGGTCGGGAGGATGGCTCGGACCGGCCCCGGTCGTGTCCGCAGCGGA